GTGCTGCTTGGGCTTCATTGACGCCACACGTGGACAGGAAGCCCCCTCTAGACATTTTGCATAATTCAGGGAACAGGGCAGACAAATCTCCCTGCCCCGCGGGCCTCTGTTCTAGGTGGGGGTCCACCGGGACCCCTAGACGACAAAGCAGAGATGGCACAGGATGTTGCGTGGGACGCCCTGCCGGCCTCCTCTAGACGTGGATCCCTCTGCTCTCATTGTCCGAAGGATGATGGGCCCTAGGACGAAGAAGAGCCCCTGTCTCCAAGGTGCGGGACATCTGGGCTTTGGCGGGGCTGGGGTGCTGGGCAGAGGCCTGGCTGCCCCGCGTCTGTCATGGCTGCTGGAGGGCGGCGGTGTGGGGGCCTCTCCTGCAGGAGGACAGGAGTCAGACAGCTGAGGCTGCGGGCCTGGGGCCTAGGGAGCGGAGGGGAGGCTGGGGGCCCCGCTTGCCCTGACCCGATCCGGGGGCCACCGGCTCACACAGGGTCCCCCAGTCCAGGTGCATGTGGGGCCTGGACAGGCCGGGCAGCCGTCCCCGAGAATAGTGTCGGTGAGGAGACCCCACGTGCCTGCAAGGGGGTCAGGCAGCCGTCGGAGCAGGGGCTGGGGGCTGAGGGGCCGTGAGAGCCCAGGCGGGCTGGGCCGAGGGACACTGCCCGTTCCCTCCTCCCTCACAGACTTCTGCAGCTCCTCTGTGTGCCCCAGGGCCGGGACAGAGCAGACACTGCATCCCCGCCCTCCTGGAGTTTCCTGTGCAGCAGGAGGGACCCCAGACAGACAGTGGAGTGGGGCAGGCTCCCTTCAGGAAGGCAGGGGTGCTCACACCAGTGATGGAGAGCTCTCTCCCATGGAGACTGCTGGACCCCCGCACCTGCTGGCCACATCTGCCCCTGCCTGGATGGCCGGTGCGGGTGGGCTGGGGGGGCCTGGCCTCTGGATGGAGCATCCCCAGGGCTGCCCCAGGGGGCTGTGTGGAAGGGCAGGCCAGGCCACTGACTTTGCTTCCTGCCCGCCTACCTCCAGGGCCATCTCCTCCATTCTGGGCACCTGGCCGGACCAGGCTCGGAGGACTTCTGTCAGCCCCAGACATTCCCTGCCTCAGGCAGCCGGTGGCCCATGTGCAGCTCAACATGCCCGGTTCCGACCTGGAGCAGCGTGCCCACCTTCTGCTGACCCGGCTGGAGCGTGCAGAGCCCCACAGAGGCCGCGCCCCAGGGTTAGAAGACCGGAGGTGGGTGCCTATGGGTGTGGGGGGAAGGGTCGGGGCCGACCCCACAGGAAGGAGCCCCCAGAGACTGGTGTGGGGCCTGGAGCAAAGACTGGGCTCAGAGCGCCCAGCGGCTGGACTGCAGTCGGGGAGACGTCCCGGGGAGGGCTCCTTCCTACCTGGGGCTTCTCTGGGAGGCTCTGGGCTGTGCACGCACAGGTGTGTGTCTGATCTGGGAGCAGTGGGGGGCCTGGGCAGGGGGACAGTGAGGACGTCGGGCAAGGCTGTGATGCCTCCGAGCTGAGTGACAGTTCCTGTGTTTACAGAGGCCCATGGAAGCTGGCCTGGCTTCTGCCCCTGCACCTGGCTCCTCACCCGAGCTAGAGACACAGGTGCAGCCCGGCTCTAGCTCCTGAGATGGTGGAGCAGCTGAGAGGAGAAAAGCTCACCCTGTGCCTGCTCTCCGTGGGCCTTTGCAAGACAGAGCCCAGCCCAGGGCCTCCCAGAGAAGCCGCAGCCAGGAAGGAGCCCTCCCCGGGACGTCTCCCCAACTGCAGTCCACCCGCTGGGTGCTCTGCACCCAGTCTTTGCTCCTGGCCCCACACCAGCCTCTGGGGGCTCCTCCCTGTGGGGCCAGCCCTGACCCGTCCCCACACACCCACAGGCACCCAGCCCCAGGCTTCTCAGCCTCGAGCTCGGTCTCCGTGGGCTCCATTCCTGGAGCACAATCCAGTCAATGACCACCAGGGACAGTGGTCTGGGTGGTGTCGGAGGCCTTCCCCCGCGATCCCCAGCACCTGCTCCTGGGGACCCCTGTGGAGTCACGCCCCAGGTTCCGGAAATGGAATGGGTGTCCGCCAGCCTCCTCCCGATTTCATCCGTGGTCTGCAAAGACAGGGACCGGTAGCTGGCCCAGAGGCATCACAGCCCTGCCCGGCCAACCTCCCTGTCCCCCTGCCCAGTCCTCCTGCTGCTCCCAGATCAGACACACACCTGTGCATGCACAGCCCTGCACGAGGGACAGTGACCCATCCTGGCAGCCGATCGGGATAAACCCTGGGCAGAAGCTTGCAGCCCCCCACACACCATCCCACCCAGCCAGCCTTGACCTTGAACATGACCTGCCCACTGGGTATCTGACCCCTCATCAGCCTGCTCTTGAAGGGGGTTGGCCCACCCCACATGACCCCTCTTCACACACACACACACACACCACAGACATGCACACACACATGGGTGGGGACCTGGGGCTGCACAGGTGGTTTAGACCCTGTGGGGCTGGGTGGCCGGCTCTGGGCCTCCTGGTGTCCCCTTTTGGTCTTTCCGGCCAAATGGCCAGAGGCAATGTGGAGCCCTGACACGACATCCCCAGCGAGGGAAAGTGTTTGCAGAGTTCCCTTTCCTCAGCCTGCAGCCTCCACACTTTGGGATGCAACATGCAAACATGTTCTTCTTTCGAGGATCTCCAACGAAATGAGATGGCTAGGGGGCTGTCTCTGGAATGTGGGTGCCTGTGGCAGCCCTTTGGGCATCGTGGGGACCCCGGCCTTCAGCCTGGCATGTTACCCCTGCCAATGTCATGGCCCCGGGCATGTTTCCAATAGTTCCCACGGGAGCTTGCCTGTCACAGGGCTGTGACATGGCCCCACTGTGGGTTTGAACCCAGGTCAATCTGACCCAAGCCTGAGCTCATGCAGGAGCCCGAGGAAATAGCCTTGAATGGTACAGCTTAAAGTGACGGAAGCTTAACTTTTACTGAATCTATATATTAACTGTTAAATGTAAAAATCATAAAACATGTAACAGAAAAGGGTGAAGGGTGGGGACGCCTGGGTGGCTCAGTCGGTTAAAGCGTCTGCCTTCGGCTCAGGTCAGGAGCTCAGGGTCGTGGGATCGAGTCCTGGATCTGGTTCCCTGCTCAGCGGGGGGGGTCTTTCTCCCTCTCCCTCTGCTGCTCCCCCTGCTTGTGCGCTCTCTCCCTCTCTCTAACAAATAAAATCTTAAAAAAAAAAAAGTTTCTCTTTAAAAAATAAAAAGATGGGTGACGGGTGGCCTTGGGCGGAGCGGCTCGAGCCCTGGGCCAGAGCTGCGGCCGATGCCGGGGATGCCCCCGGCTTCTGCCGTGGAACCAGCCCAGGACCTGAGCTGGAGCTGCAGCTGGAGCTGGCTCCGTCCCCAATGGTTGGGCTCGAGCTGGTTCTGGAATGGACTCCAGGGCTCAGCGAACTCTCAGGCTGGCATTGTTGCCAGATTTGGTGCAGGAACCGGCTGCAAGAAGACTGCTGCTCTGGAGCTGGTCCAGGCGAACAGGTGGAGGGGCCACTAGCTCGGGAACTGCTGCCGGGGGGGGGGGCCGTCGTCCATAGTTGGTGTGGGGGCTGCTGTGTGCGGCGGCTCTGGCTTTGTGGGTGGAGGTAAGGCTCGCTCTGCCGTGGGTCCGAGCATCTGCTCTAGCTCTCCAGAACACAAGTCCTGCCCCTGTGTCTGTGCAGCGGGGGCAGGAGCTGGCTGCAGGGGCAGGGGGCTTACTCACACTGGGGCGCACTTGGCCCCAGCTCCCGAGCTCCCGGCGAAGGCACCGCAGAAGAAGATGGAAATGCCTTGAGCTCTGGAGTGGGCATTGGGTCTGTAGCTGCTTCTGCAGCCGCGTCGACGCTGCAGTGGTGACCAGCCCCGCTGCAGTGGCCAGTCCTCCATCTGGAGATGGTGCCGAAGCAGCAGGAGGAGAGAAGATCACCACCCTGCCAGGGTGATCACCCTGTGCTGATCCCCACAGCCTGTCCCTGTGCCTTCTCAGAGGAAACCCCCCACAGCCTCCCACAGCAGTGCTGAGCTGCCTCAAGAAGTGCCTCTCGTTCTCGGGCTGGCTCTCACTCTGGCAATGGTGCCGGATCAGGTGGGAGAACTGGTGTGGAGATGGCTTTACCCTGGAATTCATGCCAGAGCTGGTTTTGCCTCTGGAGGGGGTTCACGGGTCAGAGCTGGAGGGGCTCAGGTCTGTGGGGGCACTGGCTCAGGCTCTCGAGCTGCTTCCATGGCTGGCTCGAGTCAGTGCAGGGGCATGTTCTAGTGTGTCAGATGGTTCTAGATCTTAGCTGCCGCCAGGGCTGGCTCTGCCCCACGGCTCGTGCAAGGTCTCATGCTAGAGATGCTCTAGCTCTGTATCGCCCACTTGCTGACTGTGGGTGAGATGCTGACCCACCGGTTAGGCTGGGAGCTCCGAGGGCAGGGAGGGTGTCTGGGGGTCCCCTCTGCATTCCAGCGAACAGACACAGGTGGGGATGCTGCACGAGTGGAGGAAAGAGTGAACACAAGTCTGTGGCCCAGATCTCTCATCTGTAAGCAACATCCCCCACATCACGGGGCTGCTGGGGGATCCCACTGATTCACTAAAATGTGAAGTGCTACCACCTCCCAGGCACTGTTCTGTGGGTTGGGGACCCAGCAGTGAGGAAGCACGGTCCCTGCTTGCGTGGGGCTGGCCGGAGCAGAGGTCAAACGAGGACTTCAGGTCCCCAGCAAGTGTCTCTGCTCAGCTGGGAGCAGCTGCTTGGAGCAGCGGGTCATGCAGGCATCCCTGTGTAGCAGGTCAGGACCTACCCTGGGGTGGCCCATGTTGAAGGGGATGGGGGATCTGTGGTCTGACATGCATGCCCCCTATCATCCACAAGTAGCCACTCCCATCACTGTCCCTAGTTTTGCCATCTATTCAGTGGGCATGGCAGGAATTCTGTTCCTAGATTCCTCCATGAAATGTTCTGGATCCTCCAAGACTTGCAAGGAAGAACTCCCCATTGTCTGTCTTCCCACTGGTAACCCTGAAGGGCCAGTGTTTGAGTTCACTGGGGAAGCAGATCATGTTCTAAGGAACTGGTTGAGGCTTCCCTTCTGGTCAGTGACTGAGTTGGGCTTGGAACCCTGGGGCCCAAGCCTCAGTGGCCATAAACACCAGGGCATTGACAATGCCCTGGTCAAACCACTTCCCAAGGTGCTTGAAAAAGCTAGCTCCCAATCTGAAGGATGGTCCACTGAGGTTCAGTCCTGCTAGCAAAAAGGACCAGAGACAGATTTTTGCAGATCAGTACTCCAAAGGTCTCCTTCCCTTCAGTTCATTCCTATCTCTACAACACTATGTTGTGTTTCATCGTGTGGAGGGTCTTCATTGATTTATCCACTCTCCTACGGGAGAATTCCAGCCTTGTGTTCTTAGGAAGGAGGTTGCAATGAAAACATGTACACAGATCAAGTGTGGAGAAGTTTCTACTGGACATATTCCCTGAACCGGGTTGCTGAGTCAACACTACATTTGTAGTTTTGATAGATCTGGCCAAAGTGCCTCCCCTCGAAGGCAGCTTATGTTCTTCCCAACAATGAATAAAAGTGCCTGTTTCTGTATGGTCTCAAGAGTATATTTTCCAACTTTGCTGACGATTTTGTCTCATTATGACTAAGAAGGAGAATATTTTAATGTGTTGAAGGTAATACTTGTTTTTGTGAAGTGTCTGAAAATGTCTTCTGCACTTTTTCCACTGTGTGGTTGCTCTCTTATTAATTTTTAGGAGTTCTTTATAACTGGGGTGTTAGCTCCCCCTTTCTTGAGCTATGAGTGCCACTGTGTCATTTTCTCCTTTTTCCTATGACCTTAAATTATTTCCTCTTTAAGTTGTGGTGTCAAGCACACCCCCATGTCTTGTAAAAGATGTCAGTTACCCCCAACTTGAGGAAAGATTCAATACAATCCCTATGAAATCCCTCAGCAGATAATTTTCTGTGGAAACTAACGAGATGATTTCAAAATGTACAAGAAAAAACAGGACTCACAATGGTCAGAAACATCGTGGCAGGAAACAGAGTAAGAGGACGTGCACTACCAGGTACTCAAGCTTCATGTTAAAGCTAGAGTAATCAGGGCAGTGAGGGGATGGGGCCAGGAAAGACACACAGCATAGTATGGAGTCCAAGTCAAACTCCTACATGCAGACATTTAGGAATCCTAGAAACATGATGAAGGAAGCCAGACACAAAAAAAGACTACTACATTCTGAGGACGCATTCAATATGTCAATATATATATAAGCCTCATTACCAGAATGAAGGACAAAATCCACATGACCGTCTCACCTGACACAGAAAAGGGATCTGACAGGGTTCCAACTCTCACATGATAAAAACACAAAACCAACTAGGAATCGAAGGAAATAGCTCAAGACAGTAAAGACTGTTTCTGAAAAGCCCACATCAAACAGCATCCTCAGTGGTTAAGGACTGAAATCTTTTCCCCTAGATCAGGAACAAGGTAAGGATGCCTGCCATTGCTGTTTCTATTCCACATAGTACTGGAAGTCCTAGCCTGAGCAATTACACAAGGTTAGAAAAAAGTGCGTCCAAATCGGGAGGGAAGAAATAAATTATCTCTGTATGCAGATGTAGAAAATCATAAAACATCCACCAAAAACTTTCAGAACCAGCAAAGGAATTCAGCAAAGGATACAAAATCAACCCAGAAAAAATCAGTTGTGTTGCTCTATGCAATCAACAATACAGAAAGAAAATTCCATTTATGAGAGCATAATAAAGTACTTAGGAATAAACCTAACCAAGGAGGTAAGAGGCTTACACACAGAGAACTATAAAGCCCTGCAGAAAGAAGTGAAAGAAGACACAAATATAGGGAAAGGCATCTTGTGCTCTCAGACTGGAAGACTTCATATTGTCACTGGATTCAGTGGTCTCTGGATTCAGTCGCTGTCAGTGTCAATGCCATTTATTGCAGAAATAGAAAAATTCATCCTAAATGTGTGTGGAATCTCGAGGGAATGCAAATAGCCAAAAACAACTTTGAAAAAGAACAAAGCTGGACGACTCACACTTCCCGGTTTCAATCCATATTACAAAGCAGTGTTAGTCAAAACAGTGCGGTGTTGATTAGGGACAAATACAGAGTGTTGAACTAGAACAGGGAGACCAGAGATAAGCGCCTGTATCCATGGCCAAGTAAGCTTCAGCAAGGCTGCCAAGACCACACAATGGGGAAAGGACAGTCTCTTCAACAAATGGTGTTGGGAAACTGGACATCCTCATGCCAGAGAACAAAGATCGACCCTTCCATTTCACCGCTGACAGAAATGAACTCAAATATGGATCAAAGACCTCAATGCAAGTCCTAAAACTGTCAATCTCCCATAAGAAAACATAGAGGAAGAGCTTCATGACACTGGCTATAAAGATGATTTCTTAGATAAGGCACCAAAAGCACAGGCAGCAACAACAATAAAATAGGACTACATCAAAGTAAAAAACTATTGTGAATCACAGGACACAAAAGGTGAAAAGGCATCCTATAGAATGAGAGAAAATATTTGCAAATCACAGATCTGACAATGACTTATTATCTAGAATAAATAAAGAACTCCTACAACACAATAACAAAACAATCAAATGACTTGATTTAAAAATGCGCAAAGGACTTGAACTGACATTTCTCCAAAGATGACATGCAAATGACCAACAAGCATATGAAAATAGGCTCAATTATGACTAATAATCAGAGAAGACTAAAGCAAAGCACAGAGATATAACCTCACACTCATTCCTCTGGCTCCTGGGGGAAAGAAAAAACAACAACCAGAAACAGAAACACCAAATGTTGGCAAAGATATGGAGAAAATGGAACCTTTGTGGACTGCTGGTGTGATTGTAAAATGGCGTACCACTATGGAAAACAGTACTGAAGTTATCTCAAAAACTAAAAATGCAAGTACAGCATGATCCAGCAATCCCACCTCTGGGTATATATTCAAAAGAATTGAAAGCAGGGTCCGGAAGAGACATTTGCACACCCGTGTCACATCAGCACTCTTCACAATAGACAAATGGCCAAACGGTGGAAGCAACTCAAATGTCCACCGACGGATAAATGGATACACCAAATGTGCTCTATCCATCAATGAAATATTATTCAGGCCTAAAAAGGAAGGAAATTCTGACACCTGCTACAACATGGACACAATGCTAAGTGAAAGGAGCCCTCACAGAAAGACAAATACTGTATGAATCCACAGCAGCTGGGCGCCTGGGTGCCTCAGTGAGTTAAGCATCTGCCTTCGGCTCAAGGTCCTGGGATCGAGCCCCGCATGGGGCTCCCTGGTCAGTGAGGAGTCTGCTTCCCCCTCTCCCTCTGCCTCCTCCTTCCCACCCACCCCCACCTAAATAAATAAATAAATAAAATCTTTATTTAAAAAAAAAAGAAGAATCCATAGCTGGGAGCTCTCCAAAGTAGCCATATTCATGGAAATGGAAACTAGAATGATAGTAACCTGGAGATTCAGGTGAGGGGAAAATGGGGGAAGCTGTGGTTTAATCGGTACAGAAATTCATTGGTCCATGAGAGAAAGACAAATACCATATGATCTCACTCATATGTGGAATTTCAGAAAGAAAACAGATGATCATGTGGGAAGGGGGAAAAGAAAAAAAGAGAGAAGGAAACAAATCATAAGAGACTCTTAGTGACTGAGAACAAACTGAGGGTCCGTGGAGGGAGGAGGTGGGGGAGGAGCTAGATGGATGATGGGTATTAAGGAGGGCACTTGTTTTGATGAGCACTGGGTGTTGTATGTAAGTGATGAGTCACTGAATTCTACTCCAGAAACCAATATTGCACTGTC